GAGTGAGAAAGAAATGAGCGTGCTTAATTATTTTTAATGTTACGTCGGATATAATTATTTACGATTAAAAATCCGTGTTGTTAAAAGAAAAATTTACTTTTATGTACCTATTCTAGCAAGTAATTATATTTTTTTACTTGTGAACCCCTATGTACATTTATGTTATCAAATTAGTCATAAACAGGATATTATGAGTATGTTATGTTGCAGAAAGAACTGAAAAATGTTATAACTTTCATTACATCAGTGCATTATTATATTTTTTATTTTGATAATTATAAATATTAAAAATCTAAAAATATCGATCGAAACAAAGGTAACTACAATATAGTTCGTTAAGTAAATCGTCCAAAGCTTTCTGTCACACTCTTGGTGTGTATATATAAATAAAATAAAAGTTATTAAAAATTGGTATTTATAATAAATTGTAGTTAATACTTTTCGTATACAGTTATACATCGCACGGCAATGATACATTTAGTTGATATTAGGTATTTGATAAACTTTTAACTAACATTTTTTAATTCACAGACATAATATTATTGTGGTATAAGATTTGGAAATAAAAATTCATGGAATTCAAAATTCAAAATTTGTTTGCGTACGCACCTATAAACTACGTATCATAACGAAAAAAAAATACTACAAAATGTAAATAAGATACGTGCGTGTTATTATATTATTAGTTGATAAGTTCTTATAATATTCTCCAACGATGTCATTTTGATCGTTGGATTTAAATTTTGACTTRGGAGATATATTTTTGGATATTGTTTAAGAATACTGTAACGATATCGCAGAAGTGGAAATAATTTTTAGGTGATATAGGTAATTTTACAGTTTAATAGAACTGGAAAAATTATTTAGAACAGTTGCAGCTGTACGATGAAAATATAATATTAAATTACTAGCATGTCTGGRTTAAATGTATTTATGTATATTATGTATTTCAGTTATTGGACGAATTAATTGAAATATTAAAAACAAAGTGAGCTGTAATCATATTATAATATTAACAGTTAGTAGTGTACCTAATTTTTCAAATAGCTAAACTAAACATTATAATTATTGCATGTGTAATGTGTATATATATGTATATATATTTTAGAGGATTGATCAACATACATTACCACATATAATATTAGGACAATAGTAAGTTCTTGCTAAAAATCAATTAATTAATATAAACAATAATATTTACTTGATATTATAAATAATAATATGGTATTGGATGGTATACGCTAAAGCACATTGTCCACGAAATCAGTTTAATATATTTATATAATTATGAACAGTCGAACAGATGGAATGTTATCAAGTTAGTTGCTTTTAATGTTATTATGTAGGGCGTAGGTAAATTAATGCAATAAATAATAATAATATAATAATATAAATACATTAATACCACCGTCAAAACTATACTAATCACCAGTAACGTACGCAGAATTTTAGTTCGGTTAAGGTCTTACATGAGTAAATAATTTAAATAATAATAAAYAATTTAAATAATTTGTCTAACAGTTTTTGTATAATTAGTTATATGAGTATAAATAATTTTAAAAATATGTTGTATTAATAATTTAATAAAAAAACTCATGCGATTTCCATTGTTGTACTATGATGCACTATAATATACAGCGTAAAAGACTAAATATGACCACTCTGTTGAATATTGTGCGTTAATTCAAATATTATGATATTTTCGGGATTTTTTAGTATAACATATTTTCAGATATCGGGATATGTTACTTATAATATATTATTTGGAGGGAGACTGTCTCTTGTCGATTAGAATCTCTTTTATTTTTTTAAATAAACATCAGCTCTTTCYTACGTAAGTCGTTAAGCATACGGGTTTTTTTTACTTCGGATGAGAAGTATTTTAGTTACTAAACTTTATGTACTGAGATAAATTATCCTCAATAATCCATCTATTATACAAAAAAGTTTCGTTGAATTATTACCATAGCAACCAATATTAGAGTGAATTTTATATTTTTACTAACTTTACACATGGTAAATTATACGTTGCATTAACACGATGTAAAAGTCCTGAGTGAATGAGTATTTAGTGCAAATTTGAAAATAAATTAATTGAAAAAATTGTATTTGATGAGGTATATTATCTATCATGTGCATTATAATAATTATTTTATTTAAATTGTAAGTAATTTTTAACGTTTATAAATATTTTATATTAGAGTTTTCAGCTTGAAAAAAATATAAAAGGGTTGACCAGCGAATCTAACAGACCGCAAAGGATTTTTTTTTATTATTAAATTGAAGTAATATTAATTTGTCTAGTGTACTTATAATTATACTTGGACAATTTTTACGAATTGTAATAATATTATAATATATTAAGAGGTTCCAGTCTGTAATTTTCTAAAGAGTAAGAATCAGGCAAATTATGTGGCGGTTCATCCAGGTCATGTAAATGTGTGATAGTGTAAATTAACATTAGTGTGTATGATGCGATAAACAACACAGATCTCATTGAGTTTCGCACTCGCAGGAATAATATGTCATTATTATACTCAATTAAAAAAAAAGTTTTCGGCTACTTTTTGAGTTTGAACATACCTTGGCTTTGACAAAACTGTGAAATTTTGAGTTGATGTGGTTTTAATTTTGTGAAAATCTTAGCATTTATTAACATCTCTTTAAGAGAACGGTCGAGGAATTTTATTAGGAATATAAATTTCTGCAACATATGGTTGAACAGAAATGTTGTAGAAACTGAAATTTGTATAATATCATAATACTGTCAAAAACTTAAACTTTGAAAAAACTAAAAAGTGCTCTGACAGTTCTCTAGAGGAGATTTAAAAAAAAGTTGTTGTTTTTGTAATAGCAAAATCAAACCACTCTAAGTCCTTTATCTTGTCACAGAAAATGGTCTAAAAATGTACAATWACTGACTAGAGCCATCTCATAACATACAATGACTATGATTTTAATATCATCACAGTAGTTCCATTTATTTATATCTGTGTTATCATTATTACCTCCTACATAAAGTTTAATTATTTATAAATTACTAGAAAAAATCACATGCTCTGCCGTTTACGGTAAAAAGACTGGTGTTGTTTGAAAAACAAAAGTTTGTATAATCGCCACAATACATTTGCATTTCTTATACATAAATGGTATACAATAATGTAGGCATTATAAATAATACTTGTTTTCCAATGGCTTATGTCGTCGCGTGTATTTTTATTAATAGAAAAAAATGTATTATATGATACGTAAGTATTTCGAAATATGATCTTATGAGTGAGCATAAGCATTCAAATATCCCAAAAATCTTTCAATAAATGCGTTGATAAAAAAAAAAAAAAAAATAGGGGTGAGCACGGCAGCAGTGTAACTTATATATAATAACAATACTATTTTAAGAGGAAAACGAGTGGCTGACCGGAACAACACGTGCGTTTTCGACGAAGAAAACCGAAAAGCGCAGCTCTATGTATACGTACAATGACAATTATAATATTCTATTACGATCCCGTTTGATTTTGTGTGCGTCCATGTTAAATGCAAGTCTCCGCTTCGTTGTGTCGCGGGTCGTCGGTCTGCTGCAGCGTTTCGCATCCTTGCAGCTGCAGTTGCACCATGTTGCTGTTGCAGTTGCTGTGTTGCGCGTCGGCGGGCTTGTTGTCGGGGCCCTGTACGGTCACCCTGAGCAACGTTTTGTAGCACTGCGCGTTCCCGTTGACCGGCGAAATCATCACCATCACGTCGGAGGCCGCGGACGTACGGCCACAAACGCCGCCACCACAATTGTCGGATAGCGGARCAGCCGAGTAATGGTGATGATGGTGATGCAGCGGTTCGGTCTGCAGGTTCCTGGTGGACCGGTGCACCAACGATTTGCGGCTGCACTCGGCGGTGCTAATGGTCGTGTTCAGTGGCACGGTCGTCTCCCGGAAGCTCGACTGCAGGTCTCTGGACATGCGGTTCCGGTGGTCGCCCGAGTACCCGCACAGCGTCTCMCGGAACGCTCTCCTGTACTTCATCGACATCAGGTTGTACAGGATCGGGTTGACCGTCGACGAGAAGTAATAGAAGCAACCGGCGATCGTGTAAAGCAACTCGTTGGCCTGTGTGTAGTACGGCGAGTCYTTGGCGTACAGGTAGAGCAGCCGCTGAGCGTGGAACGGTGCCCAACACAGGAAGAACGCGATGACGACGGCCGCTGAAAACCACGTGTTACTTATTATTATTTTTTATTAAAATTGTGATATTTTAAATGGTTATGGAATTAAATGGTTCAAAATCCGTAGCACAAGCCATATATATATATATTAGTCAAATGTAGTGTAATGGATAGGTCAGAGGCTTCTTAAGGTCATTTTCATGAGGGGGGGGGGCAAAATTATAGATGGCCTGCAGCTGATCTCACGTGACTATAGGTATTGTTTATTTTAAGAATATAATTATGTCGAATATACTTTGCAGGTACTAGGTACCTCATCAACCAGTATTATTAACAACACTTTTCAAATGTATTCAAAATACGTATTTAATACTCGGCGTCATTATGTGTATGAATACTGTCTTTCAAAATTATTTGAATATAAATACAAATACAGTTTAAGAATATTCAAAATACTTAACAAGTACTTTTTTTCAAAGTATTTGCACTAATGTATTCTTAAAATCCTTATAAATATTTAAATCAAATGACTTCCTAATAAATACATTCTTCAATTATTTCAAAAATTTCAAACGTTACATTTATAGATGACTAACCTAACCAGCTAGTATACTGTCGAGTCAAAACTTCAGATACGAAGCTAGGTAACATTTTATCTATTGTGTCATCTGAGTATTTGATGAAATCTTATACATTTTTTAAAACATTATAAAATATTATTTAAACATGAAAAAATATTCCGCTAAATACAACGGCAAAAAGAAAAAAATTGTATTAAGTATCCTAWCTAATTATTTTTAAATTAATAAATTAAATACATGTATTCGAATATCTAACAACTAATTTAGAGGAGCTAAAAGATATTAGTCAAGTCAAACACAATGGATGCAAATGGAATGAGTTTGATTTCTGATAGATGATGTCGTTCGTGTGATCAAATAAGCCACACATAGAACATTATATTTTATAAATATATTTAAAATATTACATTTGATTTAGTGTAACAATAGTATTTTATGTCATTTTAAACCTAACAACACTCTGACGAATAATTTTGAATTACTCAATATTATTAAATAGTCGACTCTMAGTTGGACTGAGAAGGGTACTATCATCTTATATTATCCTCTATTAAGGGAGTGAATTCGAGTTATTAAACTTTTTGAGATATACATTATACAATGTATAATAATATACATAGGCATCAAAAACCAATCGAGTGTCATGCCGTTTTGAAAGATAATGTYTAATAATTCACATGATATCAAAATTCGATATAGTTTAGGTATACCTTCAACAGTGGATTGTATTAATTAAATTATAATGTTACGGTGTTGTGGATGGGGATGGGACTGCAACTTCACTCTATATATTCTGAGATTAATTCACAAAACGGTCCTTAACACAAAAATGACGTCTAATGTTTATGTCATATCGTAGTTGATACGAGTTTAGTTTATTGAGACTGTGTTTCTACAAGTTTGTGAAAATTTATTGATAATTATGCCTATCTATTGAATAAAAGTATAAACTATATTATATTCTAACAACTATAGACTGATAATAGTTACGATTACAAAGTATTCATAGAATAATTTTATTAATATTTTCTRCGTGATGGTCTCTCATTGTTTTCCAAATAAAAATTAATTTTCCTAAGGTAATACCTAARCTTTTTAGTCGTTCAAAATAAATAAAGTATTCCAATTTCAGTTGTTATACAACTATATAAGGTTGTCCACTTTTTGCGGATTCTGTGAAATCATTATATCAACAAAAAACTTGACATAAAATATATATGATATAGGAATGAAACAATTGTAATGATAAACCAGTGCATGATCATTTAAATGATAATTTTTTCATGTTGATATTACATACTATATAGTTRCATCCCCTCCCCCCTAATGAAATGAATCCTATTCTATTTCTTTTAATTAGAGTAAAAAACGTCATAATAACAGCGATATAATAATTTACAAGCAAATGACATTAGAAAATTTAATAATGTTTTGACGCGTTTTTGATGATTATTCATCTAATGACTTATAATGATGAAACCATTTGATCATAGTTACAGTAGATTACATAATAAATTAAAATATTAATATCTCAAGAATGTTTAAAAAACCATGTATTATTTTTGCAAATTTTAATGTAATTTTTTCGTAATTATAAAAATATGTATCGTCGAACATCCCATTTCGTTTTGAATTATAATTTCTTTTCAAATATTATAACAGTTTTTAAAATATTTCCTGATTTCTCCCACATAAAAATAACGTTTTATAAATTGATAATCAAAACTAAAAATGATTATATTTTTGACCAATTACGTGTTATATTTTTGTAAAATAATTATGGAAAATCTTAAATATGCCATTTAATCTTTATTTTTATTTTTAATAAGTTATATACGTCGGTTAGTCGGTTAGGACTAGTCGTGAGAKAAAAAGGTTGGGAAACGCTGCAGTATAATACTTACTTGAAAATATTAATAACATAACAATAATAGTGATAATAGTAATAATAATAATAATAAGAAAATTGGTTAGTAAAATATCTCTTTCCGTGTACAATGACTTTGCAAAAATATAATATAGTCACCTAGCATCCTGACAATTGACTTTTTCGATTGAATCTGTTTGGTCTCGCCGTGCACGTTGCCCTGCATTTGTTTTCCCAGCGAGTGCCTGGAACTCTGTCTGATCTGGAGCCCGATGAGCACATACAACACAATGATGATCATCATGGGGACGAGAAAGAAGAGCAACGAGCTCAACTCGTATACAGGCACTCCTGTCGGCACGTTCTTATCCAACATCGCGCAAAATGCGCTCTCATACAACGGATATCCTGACCCTTGAATAATATATATATAACAATATCATGTAATTTGGTTTGGTAATAATTATTATCATAATATTCTCAGCGAAGAGACTGTTTACGCACGRAACAACGCCATTTGTATTCACGATTCGTATTAACGCAAATCACGTTTAAATTTTAATAATAATAATAGTAATAAAACAGTTAATATAGTATAATATAAACGTAAATCATCTCGATGCGATTATACAAAAACTACGCAATCACATAATGTTAGTATAATAATATGATGTAATATGTAGGGTAGGTAAGTACAAGGAGATTACCTATTATAGGTAAACACTGCTTTTTTTTAGAAAAATATTAATCTTATTTTGGAAATATTTCTTTTTACATAATTTGAATTCTTTATACAAGACAACACGTCAACACGCATTAAGGTTGTTATTATACAAATTTAACATAATATAACTTTATTTTTTATGATGTTACCTTTTTTGGAATACACAGTAGCATACATTTTTTATTTCATGTCCCAAAGCAGAATATTTTTCTGAAAATTAATAAAATTTAATTTTTAACGTGAATCATTTAGCTAGATTGGTAAACTTATGAAAAAAGCTTAGATTTTATAGCACTAAAAAGTAGATACTGAAATATGATCTGAAATACGTCTTAAAACTAAATAAAAACGTAACTAAAAATTGTAGTAAAACAATTTTTTATATTTAATGTCTTAAATGAAATTGATTGAAATGTGGATAATTTTTTCATCTTTTCTAAATTTCTATATTATTAAAACTTGAAAAATAAATTTAATTTAATTCAAACCTATCAGTAAACAAATGCACCAAATATGGAAAAATAGCAGTAAAAAGTTTAAAATGCTTAAAATATGCAGAATGTTATATTTGGTGTTCTTGAAGGCTTGGCGGATAAATCACTTTTATAGCTTACTCATTTATAGTTCTAACTTCTATTTAAAAGTGTATTCTATGTATAATATAATTAGTTATTACTTAAATAATTTTATTTATTCCAAGTTCGAGTTTTAAGCCTTTTCACTTATGATAATTGGATCCAACTCGAGTAGCGACTAGTGGACAAAGAATTTGCGCTGTATCTACCTACCCTTTGTGTCACTTCTCCATTTGTCTAAACTAGCTCAAAGTTTGTTGCTTGGGTATAAAAATTTTCTGATGACAATTCAAAATATGTGTTGTCGTTTATAAAAGTTAAAGAAAAAATATAATTATTAATATCCAACGGTTTTATTAGATTTCCAGATCATGAATTATCATTATCAACAAAAATGTCTCTTGGGTTAGATATCTCTGACAGTAGAGATGAAAGGAAATTACTAAATCAAGTTGCTTTCCTAATTCATAGGTATACAATAGTTTCCAATAACATTATTACTAGATCATTTTTCACAGTTATGCTATCATGGTTGTTATGTCTATTTTTTGAATTTTTGTCTCAACAACGTAGACATCTGAAAATTTTTTCACGTTATTTGAAGATAAATTAACATGCCCTTAAAATAAAATTATTTGTCTTAATTTTCAATAAGTTTAATCGTTTAGGACGAAATTATTGAAAAATCAACAATGCTCTGTTCGTGTAACAAAAAGTATAAATTGTGCACTTAAGTTCGCTCTGGTGGATGCTACTTGTAGCAACAAGACTTGTTTGTTTTCTCTCCGGTTGGCTGTGTTCAATGCCCTTATTTTGGTGTTCATGTGTGTTACTAAGGCCAATTGGATGCTGTAACGCAAAGTCGGTTAGAAAAAAAAGTTTAACCCAAAAATATATTAATCATGTTAATATAATTTGTTTTTAAAACTATTATTTTTAACGAATTCAAATTATGTAGAAAAAAGATTTTTTAAAACAGGTTTTTTGCTTTTCGAGAAAACATGAGTGTTTACTACTAATATAATCACCTTGTATACATAATATATCATATTACCCATACAAATTCAACAATACATTATAACATAATACATTTAATACAAAAAGAATATCATCATTCATTATAAATTATAATGTGAAATTTGATCTATACCACAATTTTTTTTAAATACAGAAGAGCCTCGATAATTTGAATTTTTTTTCCTGTCTTTGGAATGTTCTTACATCGAGTTTTGGAAATATAATTCGTAAAATATAGAAATCGAATTAATTGTTATTTCTTTCGAGATTCGAGTTATATAGAAACTCGACTGTTATTTTGTTATATTAATATTAGTGGTATGTTTTATTTAATCATGTTGTGGTATACTTTTCAAATACAATATTCATAGTACGCATAATATGGACTCGAATACATTTTAAAATTATTCAAAATATTAAAATATTTATAAGTTAATAACAGATAAATGTTTAAATGAGATGAAATTTTTCAAATAATTATAAATACATTCTTTAATATCGGTTCAAGAATTTCAGATGTCACATACTAAATCACATACACTGTATCATACAGTTAAAATTCAACTAGGTAGGATATTAAGCTAACTTAAATATTGGATTTGGGTTTTCTGTAAATTTGATGAAATCTAATAATTTTTTAAAAATATTAAAATATTATGAAATATTTTCTTAAGAACTATTTTTTTTAAATAGTGAACAAAGTAAAAAAGAAAATAATATATTTTTTATAAGTATTTAGAATTGTCAAAAAGTATTTGAGACGTATTTGAAATACCAAAGAAACAAAATACAAATATTTAAATTATTATTCATTCATTTATTATTTAAATACAAATATTAGAATACCTATTATTTAACAAGACCGAAATTAGGTATAATAATATGGTTGATATGCAATTAATAATTATTTGATTGCAAAATTGGCCCATTACCCGGTGGATAGTCCACATAGTCGACTGTAGTAAACATGGCGAACGGTAGTGCGGCGAAAAACGAAATCACCCAAACGACTGCAATGATTCTGACGGCTCTCTTTAGTCCGGACATGGCGTACGAATGAAGCGGATGACAGATGGCCAAGTATCTTTCCATCGAAAACGCCACGATGGTCAACACCGACGTGTACGAAGTCCTGTACATATTAAAATTATAATAATAGATGAATCAWAACGTATCGTGTTGAATACGTCATTATTGTGTGCACTTGGGTGGGTGTGAAAAATGGTAAATGACAATATAAATTATTATTACTTCGCAGGTGTAATTGAACGATCAGAAATCATATGGCAATATTGAATACCCGAAAAAATACTTCCAAATAGTTCATTGTTTTTTTTTTT